CACAAATTTATCATTTATTTACCGCTGAAATAATAATGGGTATAAGTATTGGATTCATGGATGCTCCTCATATAACATATTTGGGAGAAATAACACAACCGAAATTAAGAGCAATTTTGACATCTTATGCTGGTATAACGGTTTTTTTTTTTTTTTTAAATTTTTTATTATTTAAACCTTTATTAACAATTATTGATATATATATAAAATATTTATTCCAGAATTAAGCGTATCTCTCGGATTTTCTTTTGTTTATTTTTTGGGTTTAATCATCGATTGGAAAACAATGTCAAGCGTTTGTTGTTTTATACCGATTTTATCAATGTTTTTCATATCATGGATACCAGAATCTCCCATTTGGTTACTGTCGAAAAAAAAAATTGATCATGCCATAAAAAGTTTGTGCTGGCTCAGGGGATGGGTGAAACCGGAAATTATCCGCAAAGAATTTTTAGAACTAAATCATCAATTAAATATTAAAGGGAATAAAATAAACGAATTTAATTTAAGTGAAAATTATTTAAGTGAATCTAATGCTAAAAAAAAATGTGCATTTAATAAAATTATGAAAGCTGCTGGATTTACCGAATTATTTAATAAATCAGTGTTACTACCTGCTCTTCTCGTTGCATTTTATTTTGGATTTAGTCATATTGTTGGTGTTACAAACATTCGACCGTTTATGATCAGTATTTTAAATGAATTTGGCACTCCAGTTAATCCCATTTGGGTGACGGTAATAATATTTAACAATTTCTTCTATCAATGGTTATCTGAAAACAAATAAATATACTTAAAAAGGTTTTTTTTTTTTTTAGGCAATATCTTCAATAGTAGGTATGGTTGGATATATTAGTGGTATGATATTAGTACCGAAAATGGGAAAACGTTGGGTGTCAATATTGTCCATGCTAGGTTGTGCTCTCATCAATGGGTTACTTTCTATTTATGGCTTTTTTTTCTCTGACTATAATGCGTTGTGGGTTCCTGTTGTTCTATTTATTTTACTAAATTTTATTTGGAGCCTTGGAATAGGTCAAATACCTTGGATGCTTATTAGTGAGGTTTTTCCTTTCAAGGGCAGAGGAATAGCCAGTGGAGTTGTTGCAGCAATATCATATATACAAGCTTTCGTTTTTATAAAAACGTATTATTCTCTCCAGTATAGTTTTTCACTTGCTGGAGCATTTGGATTTTTTGGTTTATGTGCAGCTTTGGGCAGTGTTTTCTTATACGTATTCTTGCCGGAAACGGAAGGGAAAACACTGAATTGTATAGAAACAGATTTGGAAAATCATTTTAATAATTTATTTCAAAAGTGTTCTTTAAATTTAGATAAAACAAAAAACTTGTGTTCAAACTGCACGTAAATCGTTATTTATATTGTTTATTATGAACCATATTTTCTTACTTTAGTATTATTTATTTTTGTACCGCAAAACTTGTTAAACCATAAAAACCTTTTTTTTTTAATTGTAAAAAAAATAAAATAAAATTTTAAAAAAATATATGAAATACTTACAGATATGTAGGAAAATTGATTTTAGTAAAAAAAAATCACGATTAATATTGAATTTTTAAACTTTTAAAGCAAAATAAATATAAAATTTAAATGAACACAACTTAAAAAATTTTTTTTTTTTTAGTAACGCAGTTACAATAATCAGAAGCCCACTTTTTTAGTATTCTATTCCCACGTCATTTTTAACCGTAATTTAAGTGTCATAATATGAAGACCAATGTTCAATTATGAGTCTAATACTAGTAAATTTAGAGTCGAATCAAATAATTGAATTAGATTCAAAAAATTCATTCGTATTAGGTCGAAAAACTGTAGATGAGGTGAGTTCTTGAAAATAATATTTCCTACGTAATTATTTGATGTTTCTACTAATCATTTCTTAATTTCTTAAAGTAAAACAAAAAAATTTGATTTAAATTATATATTTAAAAAAATAACCATGCCTTAAATTTAATTTTATTATATTCCAGTGCCATGATAAGAAATTTCCAGAAATCATGGAAATTAACCTATTTATCGGATAATAGAATATGTTTAACAGCGGTAAGGTCAAAAAAATACTTTAAGGTTTTTATTTAAAATTATCAGAAATTAACTTAAATGAAAAATAAACTTTTTAGCTTCACACAAATCCATGTTTTTTTACAAGAAATGGAACACCTCCTGTTTTGCAACTTAATAAAGATGAAGAAGAAATTTTAAAAGTTGGTGATTGCATAGGATTGTTACCTGATGATTATTGGTTCCAGATAAAAACAAAAGAAAAGCAAAACAACAAAGAAGTTGAAAGTGTACAGTTATCGATAATTGATCACAAAAGTGGAATAGAGAAATTAAATGATTATCGTTTAAACAGCGAATCAAGTTTTAAAAATGAAAATGACACTAAATTGAATATGTGTGAAAACAGTGATACTTTGTCTTCTTTAAATAATATTAGTTTTGATAAGAACAAAAGTGATGTGATCAATATAAAAGAAATGAGTAGATCTAATAGGCTAGGATCTCCTGATTTTGAAAAAACTCGAAAATTACCCTTGCATATGTACGATATTGACCATCCTTGTAGTTCATTACCTTCATTAAGTCAAAATTCTAATAGTAAACAGCTGGAAGAACATGTTAAGAAAAAAATTAAAATAGAACCAAGTAATGTGAATCTATTAAGCATTGTTATATGTTTACTTAAATGCAATGTGTTAAATAATTAATTTTTATTAGATTTAGATAGTGCCTGCTCTTCAATTGACTGTCCTGCTGCTTCCATCGAAAATAATAATTCAGGAAGTAATACTGATAACTTTGATTCATATGAATCAAAACCCATTACAGAAAATATTTGTGAAGTTGTACAAAAGACTGAAGATAATATTGTTCAAATGGTAAATCCAGGTGATCTAAACACATCAATTAAAGAATCGAAAGAAAAAAATAAGACCAATAATGTTAATAATGTTAAGCGCACAATTTGTCAATATGGAGAAAATTGTTACAGGTAATTAATTTTAAATATTTTCCTTTCTTTTTTTTTTTTTTAAATAACAGGAATTTTATAATCTTTTTAAATTGTTTGTGATTTATAGAAAAAATACCCAACACAAGCTTGAGTTTAGTCATCCGGGAGATGCAGATTTTGTTCCTTATGAAAACAGGCCCATGTGTCCATATGGTGCATCATGTTATAGATTAAACAATAAGCATAAAGTAGAATTTCGACATCCTGCAGGAAATTCTAATAATCATAATTTAGAACAAAATGAATCTACGTCTTATACTTGCCGTTCACCAGGTGAGAAACCTCCTTGCATTTATGGGAGTAATTGTTATCGTCGTAATTCTACACATCGCAAACAATTTTATCATCCTCCCGAAGGCTACATTTGCTGTTTCCATCGTAGTTGTAATTCGCACACGACAGATTTTAATACATTTTACGAAGATTTGTTAAATCCCGACATTGTTAACGCTAACTCTTTTATTTGTCAATACTATTAGAACTAATTTTGCATAAACATCAGGTTTCCAAATAAATGAAATTATTTTTTAATTTTATAAGATTTAAATTATGTTACTTGGATCCAAGAAGAAGGTTGAATTAAATTTTTTTTAGTCTCTTCGCCATTGCCTAATAAACGTAAGCGTAAAAATATTAAACGAGATGATGATGATGATGATGATGATGCTGCTCTTTTTACCGAAGATGATGAAGACGAAGAAGTAGAAGACCCATTTTTAACCGATGGATCATCGGATGAATATGTGCCGATACAAACGGATGAAGATTTGAGTGATTTTATTGATGATGATTGCTAAAAACTAAATTTATAAGATTGAAAAAAAATTCATATGTAAAATATGTTTAACTGGTAATATAAAAAAAAAAAAAAATGGTAGCTCTCATTACATTTTAATACTTTGATCCTACGTTTTCTCTTGTCGATTTTTTTCTTTGGTATTTCGAAAAACGGAAGGATCTAATTGATTTATTGGTTCATTATCCACGGAAGGCCAATCATTAACGGAAGTATTGTAATTTGGTTGTAGAAGATGAGGAGCTATCAACACCATCATTTCCTAAATAAAAATTTTAATTTATTTTTTGTACGGTAACAATTTACTTTACAAAAATATATCATTTAAAATTTATTTATATATAAATTTGAAAAAAAAATTTTTACTTCAGAAAACTGAGTGAGTCCCATGGTGGTAAAACGATATTGCCATTGGGGTAAACCTTGATGTACCAACATCATTCGAAAATATTTTGTAAACGAATCTGCTAAAAGATGCCATTCGAAACTTCTAAAAAAAAAAAAAAAGGATAAAATATATTTTTATATTTAACGGAAAGTCGTATGAGTCGTTTAATTTTTTCTTTTTTTTTTTTAAGCCACCTATCAAGGAGCCATATTTTTGGATTTTCTCTCTTATCTAAATTATGTTCATTTTTTTCTAAATAAACTAAACAAATTCGTCCATTTCCGTGACACGAATCAATTTCAAATATTTTACAACGGAGACAAAAATTTGGTTTTCCATCTTCATCCTTTTGATTGCACATATCAATATCAAATAATGTCGGACAATCTGTATCCCCCTGTGCTTTTATCCCACCCATACGTTTTAAATCGGCTAAAGAATTTATTTTCATGTTACCAATTGATAGAATTTCACCTTGGAAAAAAAACAAAAAATTTAATAATAATAATAATAATAATAATAATATTAAAAATATAATAATAATAATAATAATAAAACCTGCATATTCATAATTCCACGTTAATTTAAAACCATCAGTTGATAAGTAAAACTGTTTCATATCATTTGGTAAAACGCAACTATGTCTTTGTTCCCAGCTGGATATTTGCATTTGTTCACATGGTAATCTATTTTCCAATTGTACATCACATATTCCCGGTGTATTTTCTGGAACATTTACTCATGTTTACAACAACAACAACAACAAATAAATTTTCTTAATTTTTTATATCTCACCAAGAACTTTAACTAAACCTAATGTTAAATTTTCATAAAATGGATCTTCAATGTTTGATCCCATTGATGTCTTTTTCTATAATTTTATTATTATTATTATTATTATTATTATTACAAGAACAAAAAGTTTTAAGTATATTAAAGCAAGTTAATACTTAAAGGTTATATATTTCCATGACAACCATTATATTAATACAATATTGAATTTTCCCCTTTAAATTAAAATGAAATTAAGAATAATAATGATAAAATTAATGTTTTAAAGTAAAAAAAAAAAAAAAAAAAAAAAAAAAATGGCATAAAACAATATGGATATCAGCTATAGGTAATTTTCTTTAAGAAAAAAAATTTTTTTTTTTTTTTTTTAATATAAAAGTTGAATCTGCATCTACTCAGTCTACTTTTTCACTTTCTTTTGGTTTTTTTAACGGTTTTTTCTCTCTCTCGTGGAGGTCAGTAGGCGTCATATAATAAACGTAGGTCACGAGAATCTTAGGTACCAAATAGGAAGAAAGTAGACCAACAATCTTTGTCGACAATAAAATTTCAGGTTCAATATTTTCATTTAAATAATTTCCCCTTCTTTAACTAAATTTTTTTTTTTTTTTTTTAAACTCAGTCTTATGTTAGTAGCGGTTTTAATAAGAACTTTTTAATTTTTTTTTTTTTTTATTTAAATATAATACGTATTAAAACGCCGGTTATAATTATTATTATTATTATTATTAAATTTTGGTGTGACAAATGTATAAAAATGAAAAGAGTATCATCGCGTTCATCATCGAAAAGTTTTTTTTTTAGTTTTTCTAATATTTTTGTAAAAAAATTATTTATCGTTTTTATTTTATTTAATTTTGGAAATTATGGTACATTTTCATCAGATTTCGAACCTGGAGGAAAACCTGAAATAAAATTAATTAATTCGGATGCTCAAGTTGTTATTGGTATGCCAAAATAACTTTTTTTATTCATTAACCTAAAAATAATTAATTATTAATTAATTATTTAAATTTTTTTAATTTAATAAAATTGATTTTTTTTTTTTTGCTATGAAATTAAAATATTTTAGTTATTAATGGGGGGGGGGGAAACCTTTTTGATAATCTAAATAATTAATTTTGGAATGATTTCCTGTTGACAATAAAACAATTTCAATACATAAATTATTGTTTATAAAAATTATGTTTTTTTTTTTTTTTTAAATGGTTTTTCATCAAAAGGCCAAAATTTATTATTATTATTTTTATTATTATTATTATTATTATTAATCGGAATATTTAATTTAAGAGAAAGTTAATGTTTTTATAGCAATTCCGTTGTTTAATGTGACAATTTTAATTTATTTTTTTGAATTCAAATTGTTATTAAATAATAAAACCATAACTGCTTCTTAACAAATAAATAAATAAATAAACTTTTTTATAATTTATAAAATTTCTTATTGTAAAAAAAATTTGAATCGAAATTTTATGCGTACCTGAATTACTTTTTTTTTTTTTTTTAAATTTTTTCGGTTCGTTTTTTTTACGTATTATTTTCCATCGCATAACGTAAAACAATAAACGGATTATTTTAATAATAATTAAATATTATAAATAATTAACTTTGTAAAATAAGGACACGAAAATAATAATTAATTTTATTTCGATTATTAGTAATAATAATAATAATTTGCGAGTGAAAAGTTTGTTAGAAAGTAGATTTGATTCCTCGAGGTAATTTTTTTAAGAAAGTAGTAGGTATTTTCAAAACATTTTTTTTTTTTTTTACTACCATGTTTTATCATCATAGTTTTTTTTTTTTTTTAAATATAAAAACAATTGTTTTGTTTAAACAAAAAAAAAATAACATTTTTATTAGGTAACATTCAAAAGTTATCGTTACGAAAATTCTTTTGTTTACAAATTAACCGTAGCAATAATTGGTAAAATAATAAATTAACGGAAAAAGTAGACATCTATCATAGATGATATTTATATATATATATATAAATCGATACGTGATAATTATTTTTAATATTTTATAATTAAACATGCGAAATCAATCAATCAATCATTTTAAAATTATAAAATTTAAATTTAAAAAAAACGGGGGATTCCCTTTCTTGAGATTTCTTATATATTCATTACGCATAATTTGGCATTGTTTTTTTTTTTTTTTTTTTGGATAGTTAAGATGTTTTTACTTTGAATAATTTAATATTTAAAAAAAAAAAAGGTTTCCTTAAAGGATTTGTTTTTTTTTTTTTAAAAAAATTTTTAGGTGCAATATTAAATATAAAAAAACGTGGATCTGGACTTTTCAATTGTGGTGAAAAAAATTCATTTGGAGTTTTAAAATCGGAGGCATTAAAATGGATGGTTGATGAATTGAATAAAAAAATATGGAGTGGTTCATCGGCAAATGTCTCTTTAGGTACATTATTATTATAACTAATAAAAAAAAAAAGACGAGAAAGTTTTTTTTTTAGCTTTCACAAAAAAAAAAAAAACCGGGTGTGTCTAAATTTGCGCCAAAAGTAATATTGGTAGGTACTTATAATAATAATAAAATGCAGGAAAGGATGTAATTTAAAAAAAAATACGTCCTGAAGATATAATGTTTAGAAAGTTATATATACCTAAACCTTACTATAACCATTTATCTTTCCCCTTTTTTTTTTTGGGGGGAGGGGGTTAAAACCAAAAAATTTTTAACGTATTTGAATAAAAGTAATGTGAAAAATCTTACTCATATTTAAATATTTTAAAAAAAATAATAATAATAATGGTTTTTTTGGATAATTACATAATTTCAAAAGTTTTTCCCACATAATTTCTTACTCTATTAACAATTAATATATTTTTTTTTTATTTTATTTTAAATCGTAACCGTATATATTAATTAAAATCTTAATTATTAACTACAAAAAATTACATAATCTGTTTTTTTTTTTTTTTAAATTATAATTTATACTATATAATATTGAGAAAAAAAATTTTTCAGGTTTACAAATAATGGATAGTTGCGGAAGGAGTAGAACGGCAACGACACAACTAATTGAATTTTTACCACAACTTCAAATAAATAATAATAAATCCACGGAGGAAAATTTACCATTTAAATTATGCGTAATAGATGATGTAGGTTTGGAAAAAGAAGTTGATATACAAAAATCACTGGAAGAATTAAAAATTCCAGTTATCGGTACTGATATAAATACCAATTCCGTATCGGTTTTAATGGATGCCGTTTACAATTTCTTGCAAGAATTTCAATGGGAAAGATTTGCCGTCATTTACAGTAATTCGAAATTTAGTTCTTCTTTGGTTAAAAATTTAATAAAATCAATAAAAAAAAATGATTTTTGCATACCTTGGATGTTAAACGTGGATGAGGAAGACATCGGTGAAGAATTACAAAATGTCGTCATTAAATCTAAAATTCCGTTAGTTTCTCTATTGACATCCGAAGAACATTATTTACTATTTAAAAATCTACCAAAGACGACGAATAATGACGAAGAATTTTTTGATAAAAAAAGAAGATGGAAAAATATAATTTTATTCACCGACGTCGTTTCTCGTGAAGATTTAAAAATAATTTCTAATAATAAATCCATGAGAGTTTTTTCCATCGTGGCACATCCTGAAAAAGAAAACAATTTTGAAAATTATTTTATGGAAAATTCAATTTTACCAGGAATGGAAGACGAATTAGATTTGATTGAAAGAACTAAAACGGTACAAAAAATTAAAAAAATAGGTGAAAGGATTTCGAAAAGTTTAATAAAAGCCGTTGAAAAATTATGTCACCCTACGGAAAATCCATGTACAAATTTTTCAACAACTTCCGGTAGAGAAATAATAAAAAATTTTCTTGACGAACCTGATAATTCCTGGTCTGATAATGAAAAATCATATCAATTAGTTGAATATTTATTTCAATTTTCCGATAGTCATGTTCATTTACACAAGGTACGATTATATTCTTAATGAAGTAGTAGTTGATAATGCGGTCAAATTTATTATTATTATTATTATTATTATTATTTTAAAATAAGGAATTTAAATCGATTTCGAAACCTGTTTCTTTAAATTTTTACAAATTTTAAAAAAAACGTACAAAACGTGATTATCAGTTGTCTATTCTTTTCTATTAAAACATTTTTAATAAATAAATTATTATTATTATTATTATTAAACATAAATAAAATTTTATTAATAAATAGAATAGAATAATTTTTAATTGAATTTTTTTTTAGATAATGATTTATGACAGTCATAAAAATTTAGAAGTTTATGAAAATTTTTCTTCTTTATCAAGTACTCGTTGTGATAACGAAAACCTGTCCGATCCAGAATGTCGATGTCTGGAAGCTAAAACGGTTAGAACGGATTCTGGAAGAAATATAAATGAATGGAATAAAAATAAAGAAAATTTTCAAAATAATATTAATATCGGTAGGTATTTTCTATAAGAAGAAAATGATAGTCGTACCTTAATTATAAGTTTTTTTTTTTTTTTGTTTAGATAAAAATTTCTCTGCATTTCATCAAGACGTTGATAGATTTTTGACCAAACCTATGGTTTATTCGAGTCTTAGCGATCCACTTACAGGTACATTGGCATGTTTAACACTTTTAGGTACATTATTAACTATGGTAATATCACAATATTTTGCTACTTTTGCTGCTTTACCCAACGGAGGTCTTACATCAGGTACTTCTGTTATCGGCTATGTCATACTCATTGGTTTGTTTTTACTTTTTTCAACAAACCTCAGCTTTTTGTTGACACCATTAACGTCTATTTGTGCAATTAGAAGATTTGCACCCAGTTTATCGTATGCTATGATATTTTCCGGAATGTTAATTAAGGTGGATATTCAATTTTTTTTTAATAAAATGTAAATTTAAAAGTAAATGTGAGAGAATGGGCTACCTGAAAGTTTAGAAGAATCACATTTGCTTCAATTTATGTTGATAGTGTGCATTTATTTTTAGATTTGGACTTATTTCCAGCAAATCACACCTGGAAAAGCACAAGTTACAAAACCGTTCACCCTTTTGACTTATTCTGGAATATTTACGTTATTACAAGGCTTTATTTCCAGTATTTGGCTCATTTTAAAGCCACCAGTAACAGAATATAAAATGGGTCACTGGATGTGTTATCCTCCCAATGGTTTAGATTGTCATTTAATATTGTCAATGTCTTATCCTATTTTACTATTATTTGCAACCATTGTTTTGTCAATTCGTGTCTGTTCAAAAGTACGTTACAAATCTTGTTCTGTTACCCCAAAAAAAATAAATAAATAAAATGATTAATTTTTTCCAGAGCAATAATGATGAATCTCGTTGGATATTAATCAGTGCTTCACTCGTATCAATTATAATTAGCTTTTGGGCAGTAGCAATAGGTACCGAAGTATGGCAGATGCATCGGACATCTTGTACAAATTTAGCCGCAGCCACAATAATCCTCGTTTGTTTGTACTTCCCCAAAATCAGAATGCATTCCAAATTGAAAAAAGTTAATAAAATTCAAAATAATCCATCGGTTCATCCATCGGATATCACAAAAAATTGTTCAGGTAATATTAAATTTTTAACACATCATAAAACCTTTTTTTTTTTTATGTGTTTTTAAAAGTAATTATCGGTTGACAGGTATGGCGACCAATCCTCCTTTTCCAGTCGTTTTGGGATATAATGTGGGTAACACACCTCCGCTAATTACAGAAGAAATAATAGACTCTAATTATATAAATCAAGCGTATTCGATTGATGAAAGTAGTGAAACTGCTTCTACACCTTTCGACATAGATTTATCATCTTATTCCGACTTGGATCAAGAATCCCCTTATACGTTTTCTACGTTTTTGGAAGAGCCACAGTCTATAAAATTAGTGTCTAATGACACGATTGACGATCCCACTCAGGTAAACAATTAAACATTATAGAAGGCTAAGGCTATAGTTTAGAATTTATTTTAGCGATTTAATTTAATTGTTAAATTTTCAGATTATTCCTAGTGCTCTTTATTCAATTGACATGTTCAATACTGAACCTATAGCCATAACTTCTGATCATTGTCAGCCTGGTACTAACGAATTCACACCACCTCATAGGGCAACAAGTCAATTGTATTTATGTCCTCAAACAGATTGGGTTCCTTGAAAATTAAAAATTATAATAAATTCTAAATTAAGTACAAACTTTTAAACTTTCCATGAAGATGAAGTAAAATTTTAAAAACCTTTTAATTTAATTCAAGAATTGGGAAAAAAAAAAACTTATTAAATTTATTATTACAAAGACTACGTAAGTCAAAAACTAACTTAAAGTTTATAAAAATGAAATTTGAATTAAGTTAATTTGATTAAGGCTATTTATGTAAAAAAAAAATAAAAAATAAAATTAATTTCTCATAAATTTTTGTGCTATCAATAAATTTCCTTTAAAAAGTATAATTTCTATTCATTCCTGAAAGAAAAATTAAAAAAAAAAATTTGGTTTTCAAATCAGGCTTAATTATAGAATTTTTAAAAATTTGTAACCGCCATGAACAATTTGACCAAAGACAATAAAAAAAATTGAAAATTTTTTTAATGAAATTTAATCATCACTGTATTAAAAATCAATATTGTTTCATTAAAATAAATTATAGAAATTAATAATAAAAATAATACTTTTATTAATTTTTTTTTTACAAAATAAGTAAATTGCATTTTATTTAATTTTATTTTTAAAACGAGAGTCACTATCTATTCGTCTTTTCCAACATATGTCTTAAATTCATCTATATCTGAGAGAATGTGATTTAACATTTCATTTCCTCTAATATGAATATTGTAGCAAACCATTTCAATTTTTAAAAGGGTTTGTTTCAAAACAATCAATTTCCTTAAAACTTCTTTACATCCAAAATAGGAAAGAGACAAAAAACCAGAATATACATTTCTGACAAAGTCACAAGTGTCACCACAATCTGTAATTTCACCTGAACCTAAATTATTAATACATTTTCTCATGAGTTCACCTGTTGCATCCAATAGGCCGAGTAAAAAATCATTTTGTACCAAAGTAGTGACAATTTTCCTGTCACTTTCCTTATAGGAATTTTCATGTTTTTCAATAATTTTAAACTCAAACTTTGCTTGATAGTAAGACAAATTAAAAATTCTTTTATGCTTTAAATAATTAAAATAAATTAATGCTTCTATAAATTCTTGAATGCCAGGTGAAAAGGCTCTGTGATAAAGGTAATGATCTTCTTCATCTAATTCTTTAGCAATATTTTTAAAGTTCTGGTTCAAAAGATTTTGTAATCTCAATTCCGCCTGATTCAAAACTAATTCTTTCTTCTTGTCACTACAATTTATAAATAAAACAATTGTTAATTTGATAAATTTTTAATTAAGTTTTTTTTTACTATTAAAAAAAAATAATAATAATAATCATTAAAATGGTGACAATAATAATAATTAACGAAACGAATATTTTCATCTCACCTGTCAATTGTATGAAGTAAAAAAATTATTCTTTTGCTTTCAATTGTTATATCCCTGCTAATTTTAACTAATCTTTCATATTTATCTGATTTTGCATCTAATTGCCTAGAATAATTTTTAAATAACTGAATTGTTTTAGAATTTTCATCAATTTTTTTTAAAGCTTCTTTGGCTTGACTGCCAATAACAAATTCTGAAGATCCCTTAGGCATTTTATAATTTGCTACAAATAATAATAAAAAAAAAAACTTTAAATTATTCAAAAAACAATAATTAGCAACAATATTAAAATGAAATCCATACTTTATCTATTACTTACTTTATGTTATCTTTATTTACTTATTTTATCCATTATCAAAAAGAGAATATTTTATATATTCGTACTTTACTGCATTCAACGGTCAATTAATTCTAATTTAATTAAAGTTAAGTATATTATTAAATATAAATAATATTTTGTAATAAATTCAAAATAATAATTTTTTATTCTCCTGATGAAAAAAATAATAGCATTTCACATTGAAAAAGTCAATCATTTTTTCACAAATGACAAAAATCAACAAATTCCAACGAATTTATTAATAATAAAACGCGTAAATAATATAATTTTAACATAATTATTTTAAATTATTATTTATATTTTTAAATAAATAAACTCAATGAAATTGTTTTTAATAAATTTTTATTATTTACGTTTTCGCATACGATTATTCTCTATGACTTTTTATTGTTTTCGATATATTTCGAGTTCTACATATATAGTTTCGTGAATTGTTATCGTTACGTGGAGGTTTCATTTGACAGAAAGTTAGAATGGTATGGAATGAGAAACGCCTATAAATATTATAAAAACGTAGAATTTGTAAAAATTAGTTTCGAATATATATTATAAATATCCTTTAAATATGGGGATTTGTAAATGTCCGAAGAGAAAAGTAACAAATCAGTTTTGTTTTGAACATAGAGTAAATGTATGTGAAGATTGTATGGTGACAAACCACCCAAGGGTATGTCAAATTTTTAAACTTACATAAGTTTTTTTTTTTTTATGTTAATAATTAATAGTTACAATTTTTTAATAAAATTTGATTTTTAAGTATTTAGATTACAGCACGTTTTTTTTTTTTTTTTTTTGATGTACCTAAAAGAACTGGTACACATAATAAAATTTATGTTTATATTAAAGTTGTTCCACATAGTAAAAATATTTTTTAAAACTTTTTTCTAGTGTATTGTTCAGTCATATCTTCAGTGGCTGCAAGACAGCGATTACAATCCAGTATGTGATATTTGTATGTTTGAATTAAAAAAAGAAGATTGCATACGATTATCCTGTTATCGTAAGTATATTTTCAACTTTCATCGCTTTTTTAATAATTTAAATTGGAATTAAGTTTTTTATTTTGTTGTAGATGTTTTTCATTGGGCTTGCATTGATGATATGGGACAGAAAATTCCCAATACTACAGCTCCTTCAGGTTACACATGTCCTACTTGTAAAGTAGAACTTTTCCCTCCACCCCATTTAGTTTCTCCAGTTGCAGAAGCATTAAAACAAAAACTAGCATCAGTAAATTGGGCTAGAGCAGGCCTTGGTTTGCCATTGGTAAATATTCAATTGTGTATTTTCAATAATAATTTTTATCAATCTATAAAATTACTTTTGAAAAAAAATTTCAGCTCATCGAACATAATAAACCATTACAAGAAAATAGAAAAATTCCTGTATCAGATAATTCACAATCGACATCTCATTACATAAAAGAAATAAATCAAAATCCAACAAATTCCACTAATGCAGATGATAATCCACACTTAGTAGTTCATGTTGAGGATTCATCTACTCTGAGCAGAACAGAAAATCAATTGCCTAAAAGAATTTTCCAAGATTTTAATGATTCCAAAGACATTTTATATGATCATGATGAAAATAAGTATAGACGTAAAACTGCTTTGGAATTGTTGCTTAGGTAATATAATTTTATTTAAAAACTTTGTATTTAATATTTAATAATATTTATACAGAACAGAATAACATTATTATTATTAATTCAAACATTTCTTTTTTATATTTCAAGGTGGTGGAAATCATTTTGGAGGCCGATTCCCAGAGGAAGACTTTATTATCATCAATATTGCATGAGAATAATTTTTTTAGTGGTAACTTTAACTATGGTTTTTCTATTATTTTCTTGGCTTGGACAAATTGTAACAAGAGATGATCCATCATTTGATGTTCATAACAATCCTAATATAAGAGTTGCAAATGTTAAAGAAACATAGAGAAATATCAATTTGGACAAATTGAATCTTCATCGAAATATTTATTCGTCAACTGATTTTTTGTTAATTAATATCAACTTGTAAATTAGTTAAATAATTAATAATAATAATAAAATAAAATAAAATATGTTATTATCAGTAAAAAAAAAAAAAAATTATAACAAATCAAATTCATTTAATTATTCAACCATATTAAATTAATTACATTGATTTGTAAATTTTAAAATGATGAAATATTATTATTATTATTTTTTTTTTTGGTAAAATGTTAAAAAAAAGTAAATTAAAAAATGTAATTAAAGGAAAGAAAAAAAATTGGTAAAAATGTAAAAGGGATATTTGTTTTAAATTTAAAAGCAAAATTGCATTTGGATTGATCACAAAAGCAATAAACATCTTCTTGAGTATCATTTACAGATACATTTATACAACCTTTGGAAAGTAAATTTCCCTGATTATCTTTTTTACCTGTGCAGCCCCTTATAGTAGTTCTCGTTTCTGAAATTTCCGTTTCTTTTTTAACACAATAATCAGCTTTATCAATGGGACAAGAAATCAAAAGATCATATTTTACAGAGTCTGTTAGAGTATGCCAATAATAATCGTCACAATAAGGAAAAATATCATCCGATTTAGATGAACATTGATAACATTCCAAACATACCCGCAATACCTTTTCATACTGACTATGCACTATTGCAGTCTGAATTGATAGTAATATCAAAACGATCCGCTAAAATTATTTTAATATCCACCATTTAATATGTATCGTTAATTTTTCAATTATATTATTTGGATATAAAAGAGTAAAATTTATTATGTATATAATATCTTACCATTAATAAAAATCATTAAAAAAAAAAAAACAAAGTACAGTAAACATGAGATATAGAAAAATAAAATTATTTATCCTGGCGACATTTTTACCTTTTTTTTTTTTTTTAGAATGAAAGAATAATTTTAATAGTTTCAAACTATAACTATAATAAACATCCCATAAAATACGTGCAAAAATATCATTTTAAACCGAATAAAATTTGAAAAAGATTAAACAAGAGAATGTTTTGTTATGTTTTAATAATTATTAAATGGTTTGGTTTAATTAAAAAAAAATAAAATAAGTATTATAAAAAAATCTAAAAACCGTAAATCTTCACATCAATGGGGCGTATTGGTGGTAAGAATGTTATTTCCGTGGAAAATGAATGCAAACGGCAAAAAATGAGACCTTAAAACATTCAACAAAACGTGTTGTCAAATTTTTGGCCCTGAAAAGGGCCGGTTTAAACGACGTAGAGAAAAATACAAATGAATCGATTTCAATTTAAGGTTTCTTTTCCGTTTTCTTGGGCAAAAGAACAGCTTGAATGTTTGGCAAAACACCACCCTGAGCGATGGTGACTCCAGACAACAATTTATTCAACTCTTCGTCGTTCCTGATGGCCAACTGCAAATGTCTGGGAATGATACGAGTTTTCTTGTTGTCACGAGCAGCGTTACCAGCCAACTCGAGAACTTCAGCAGCCAGATATTCCATTACTGCGGCCAGATAAACCGGAGCTCCGGCTCCGACTCTT